ATTGTTTAAAGCTGCCCAGTTTGTGGTAAGGAGTCCCCAGCCGAGTAGAAATATAAGGAGTTTATTATAATACTACCTTATTTCTATTTAGTGCTTATAGTCAATGTATCATTTTCATTGCATTTCCATCACTACCCTGTGGCATAAGTAAAATTTGTCTCTACTCAGGAGGAAACTGAGGCTTGGAGGCTGTGTGTCACTCAGCAGGGAAACATTCCAGTTAGCCTCTCCTCTTTCTCCTACATCACAGTAGCTTTGCTTGGGCCAGTTAGTGGCTCTTCCTGTTACAGTCACACTTTTCTCAGAGGAGAAAGGTGTGTCTTTCTCTCTGCTTCTTAATATGTAACTTGCTGCCAACATCATGTAATTTTTCACCAAGTCACCTTTCCTGTCTGGCTCACATCTCTCCTTGGAGTCCTAAGGGTCTTCTCAGAGGCCCAGAGGTTGAAGGGGGCTCCCTCTCTGCTCTAGAGAATTGAGATCAGCATCAGCCTGACCTCAGTGGAGTTCTCACACTTGAGCAGAAAGTCTTAAATGTGACAAGAATCCAGACAGCCTCCTGGGAGGGACTGAGTATCATTTGGGCAGCCCCTTCCCTTACTAACTGGGGGTCCCTATGGTTAATGCCCAGTCCCTGCAACTGTGTCTACTCTCTGCAGAGCCTTGCCCATCACAGGTGACGGGAGGCATGAAAAGAAGAAAGAGAAAGAGCAAAAGACTGTACTGTGGCTGATAGCAGCACCATCCAACCTAATATGATCTATCCATAGAAAGTTCAACCAACAGAGTTTTGTCTTCCTTTCTCATGCATTGTCGTGTGAAATATCTGTGTTCATCATGTAGTAACAAAAGCAATGCATCACGGAATAATTGTCTGCCATGGTGCTAAGAAATACCTTGAAAATGAATACTTTCAGACCCTGAACTCCATATTCCACTCATGAGGGGAAGTCATTAATCATTTATTATTTTGCCCATTTGACTTGCTGAAAGTTTTATGTATGCAGATTTTAAATATCATTCTTTGGTTGTCAGCCAGACCCTCATCTTCACAAAGTGTACTCTTGAGAGAATTCCTGAGATATATATATTGGCTATAGCCCAGCCTGGAAAACTCCTCAGTATAAAACCTCATTTCCTTGGCCTCCTTTTTGTTCAGGAAAGTTGGAACTTGCCTCATGGACAGCAGAAACTCAGGATTCATTCTCTCCAGAGACTTTCAAATAGAATCCCAGATGCTATCATAGTTCCAATTTGTATTTCCCTCCGTTTCACCCCAGCCATCCTTGCCTCCATTCTGTTGCAAGAACCATAAGAATGTTCTTGTCTTAGAAACTTTGCTCTTCCCCCAGATGTACACATGGCCAAATTCCTCACTTCCTGGTCTTTTCTCAAACGTCAACTTCTTAATGAGGCCTACCCCAGCCAGCTATCTAATAATTCATTTATCTGCTTCCTGCTAGAATGGCTCCAAATGCATTATTAGATCGCTCCCTGAAGAAGCTTCTTGTCAAATTCTGATCACATTTGAAGGATCTTTGTCTGACTTGTTCACAAGTGTCTCTTCAAGTGCCTAGCATGTGCCTGGCACATAGCACATGCTTAATAAATAGATATTAAGTGAGTAAATGGTAACAGCCAGTTTTTGAAGATCAAAGAATCGTAAGGATGAAAGAGACCTTAGAACGTATTTGATTCCATGGGGAAAAACTTCCCCCACCCCCAGGAGAGTCAGTTAAAGAAAAAAAAAGAAATGTATGGGCAGAATTGATTTTATATTAAAAATTAAATGCCATGGGAAAATAATATACATTCCTAAAGCTTAACCGCCTACTTTATTTCACAGGACAATGTTGATGAGAAATTGTGGGCAGAGTTGAGAAGTAGCAGGTGCTCATCACTGATCACTTGAAACCCCCACCCCATTTTATAGCATAGGCAGATATTGCCAGAGAAGAAATTTTCTTTTTCTCAAGGTCATATAGCTGATTAGAGGCAGATGCAAGAGTAGACCTGAGGTGTCCTGGCCTCCTTTTAGTGCTCCTTCCACCACCATCGGCAGCAGAAGAATCAGAAAAAAACGCTCTGGTACTTTTCTGCTCAGTTAAGCTTAAATGAGCATTGAATACTCTGTTGTAAAATTAGTGGATATCTGCTCATTGTGAATCAATGAACAAATACAGAAATCCGAATTGTTACCTTTAATAGAATGTCACCATAGTTGTCCTGTCAAAGACTGAAAGCATCCCTCCTTACCCTGCCCCATGGATCCTTATGACCTAGCATTTATCAAGTACTAATAATGCTTGGATGCTGCTCCAACTGCCTGAGGCAGGAAGGGCTTTGTAAACACACCCCAACTGCCTGTCTCTTGAATGTGCATATCTCTGTTCCTAGAGATATTCCCTCATTGGCTGAGAATTACCCCTTTTGTCCCTGGATTTTTACTTTTTGAGTTGTTATTCTTTGCTGATAGTATTACCTGTAAATATACCCATATAGGTTTTAAGGCCAAACCTCTGAAAACCTGTAATATATATTCAGGCCATTTTATGAGCTGATAATGATTTTTACTTAAGTACTCTGTTTGCCTGTCAATCCATTTGTTATCACCCAACAAAAACTATGAGTTGAAGGGTGAAGTCCTTCCTTCCTTCCTTCCTTCCTTCCTTCCTTCCTTCCTTCCTTCCCTTCCTTCCTTCCTTCCTTCCTTCCTTCCTTCCTTCCTTCCTTCCTTCCTTCTTTCCTTGTATGTATGCATTATTTAGAGATGGAGTTTCAGTCTGTGACCCAGGCAGGAGTGCAGTGGTACAATCTCTGTTCAGTGCAACCTCCACCTCCCGGGTTCAAGCGATTCTCCTGCCTCAGCCTCCCAAGTAGCTGGGATTACAGGTGTGCACCACCATGCCTGGCTAATTTTTGTATATTTAGTGGAGATGGGGTTTCATCATGTTGGCTAGGCTGGTGTCAAACTCCTGACCTCAGGTGATCTGCTCACCTCCACCTCCCAAAGTGCTGGGATTATAGATGTGAGCCACTGTGCCTGGCCAGTGAAGTTATTTTAAAAACCATTGTTCTTTATTTTTATTTTATTGGATTAAATACGTCAATTCAAAATGTCTGCACTGATTACTGAAATGCTCAAATGCTATTTTGCTTTTCCTGTTAATCAGCTGCTTTAAACAGAGCTCTAACAATTTAATTGTTCTACTGTTACTTTCCATAAATCTGTCTACTACAGTTCATCAAGTATATTCAGTGCACCATGATAGGCTACTGGAGGGGTATCAAAAATCATAAGGCCATAGAGTGCCTGCCTTTAGGGAGTTTGCAGCCCATTCTGAGAGATAAGAGAGAGACCAAAAGACAATTAACAATGTGAAGTCATAAATAGAAAGTTCTAGATATATGGTTTACATAGTAAGAGAAGGGATAAGGGAGAGATTAAGGTAGAAATAAATGTTGGAGTCAAGTAATCTTTATCACGCTTTTGCTTTGCATTATAGACAATTTGTTCCTCTTTGTCTTCATTTTAATTTATCTGAAAGCTAGGAAATCCAAAAAGTTTATCTTGGACTGCTTAGGTTTGTTAGCATTTTTCAGGAATTTGTTTTCTCATCTCCTGAGATGTAGGTCACCAGCTTGAGCTAAGAAATCCACACAGGTTCGTAATAGAATTTGACAGAGCAGAAGAATGATTTTAATTTTCCATTTGTCATGTAGAGAGTCAGGTAGGGACAAGTTTCCCTTTTCTCCTTGGAAGATAAACTAATATATTTATTTATAATAATTATTTTTGTGCATACTACACTCATTGTCCTTAACTCAGAAAAAATGTCACCTATCCAAATATTGCATTTTTTAAACATTTAAAAATATTCTTCCCATGCTTGGTTTCATTTTGTTCTAAGTCATAGACTTACAGTCAGATAAACAAATACAAGTTATGGGGAACATGAAAAAAGGGCCTAAAATACTGTGATTGAACTATTTGGAATGTATTAAATTTAACTGGCCAAGGGACAGGGGAATTCTTGTGAAAAAACTGCAGTAAAAATTATGAAGAAATTTTATCATCTTAATTGTTAAAGATAATTTTTTAAAAATCAAAGTTCAATGTGTATTTAGATTTTTTTCTTCACATGAACTCATTTCATTCATTTGCCTATTTTTTCTTCTGTGGTCATGATTATTAAAATCGGAATTATTTTAAAGCTGCAGTGAATTCTACGGAGTTTCTAGTCCAACCTGTTTTTTTTTTTAAATGAAAAAACTAAAGCCCAGAGACATTATGGAACTGACTGATGTCACACAGCAAAGTAGTAGAAGGACTGAGACTAAATCCCCAGTGCCCTGAAAACATGAATGACAGCATTAGACCAAATCCTGCTGTGACATATGGAATAGAAAACAACTCAAATTAATATGCATTGCCTCTGCAATGCCACTTCATCACTGGCATTCTCAGGTAGCTTGGACAATGTGCATGTGTTAATAGTGTGTTACTCTGTTTCCAGGTGCCCGGAGTTGTCCCTCTGTGGTACACCTTTCCTGGGGGAGCTCCAGGTATGGCACTGTAAATAGCAGAAACAACATTTTCTAGTGATTGGTGAAATATATTTCAAAATTTCCTGTGTTGTTATCATGAAATGTTAACAGGTTTACTTGGTTTATTTTGAAGTCATGGTTAGCTATATCTGATATTGTCGCAATATGTAATATGTTGTGTTGCTTTTCACATAAATCTACAGGAACCTATGGAGGTCATTTAAAGAAAAGGTAGTTAAATCTGCTTGTTCTGTCAATCAGAAAGGAACAGGATCAGGTTTGTCTTTCTGACATGGTTCAGTCTCTCCTGAAGGCAGACAGCTTAAGGCCTCATTCAGGCACATTCATCTCTGACTGAATAATTAAACACAGGATTTTTTCTTTCTTGCATGTGAGATTTGTCACAATAAATGCAGTTAATAGTTAAAACTAGTTGTAATTTACACACTTACTTGTCAACATATTCAACTAGATCTGTAGAATTCTTGGTTGACATTTTGGCTGGAGATAATCTTACCTAAAACAAAGGTTACAGATTCAGAATACATCATCTGCTTCTTTACAGATTACTTTTATGCAGTTTATCTTTAAAGTGTTTTAATTTTAAACAAAAGATATATCATAGACCAGATAATCAGCCCAGTTAATCTTATACATGCCCTCTTTGTACTGCTGATGCCTAAAAACAAAATTAAGTTCTGTGGAGCTATGAGAAAGCTGTATTTCATAGATTTAGTATCACAGTCAAGAAAACCTTTTTGGAAAAGTCAAAGCCATAGATTATTCTTAGATAATTTAAAAATGAAGTATCTAATGATTGTTGACTGAATTAGTAAAGAAGTCTTTACAGAGTGAATGATTCCTGACATGCTGATTTCTAAGGAGAAACAGCTAATTTTCAAACACAAACCCCCGAGCTAGAAAACTAGCCTATCCAAGTACCTGGATGTCAGATTATTATAGCCAGAGCACAGTCATATACATAATTTACTAACATTAAGTATAGCTGGCCATATGTACACTTAACTGGCAACTTCTAATTCAATAAAGTGGTACTACTAGAAAGTTCTATTTTCATGAAAGTTGATAATTTGCAGCATTTTTATGACAGGAAAGAAGATGCCCAAGGTACTCACTGTTTTTCATATCCTGAAAATGCCTTAAATTCTTTTAAGTTTAAAAAACAAGACAGATTTATCCTAATTTTAATAGCCTATTGCTGAACTGGATTCAATATGGAGAATATGAGTGGTATTCCACCTCAGCTAAAAACTTTTACAAAATATATTCCTAGGATATTTTTACTTGCCTTATGTTACTGTGTACTGTAATGGTGGGCCGAATATGTTAAGACTCACATACAGAAAGCATTCCTTTTTCAAATGCCCAAGGAATTACTACTTCTTAAGTTTTAAGAAACTTAATTGGATACCTCCCTCCTCTAAAAAACTTAAAGAAAAAAATGTTAAGTCTATTATCAAGGATGCTAATAAAGAAAGCCTGATAAATTCTCTCCTGACCCAGCCCTGTTGGTGGTGGGCGGGAAGAACAGACTCGAGGCTGCTCATGAGGGAGCCCGTGAGCCCCCAGGAGAGAGCTTTTACCCTCCCCGCATTGCTGAATGGGGTCTGCAATGGGTCTAATGCTGTTAAGCCATGTCTTCCCCTTGTGAGTGTGGAAACTGTCCTAAGTCCCAGAGGACCTGGTGCCTTCTAGCGTGGAGCGTGTTTTCACTCCTGTTTCCCACTGAAACAGTACTGAGTCCTGAGACCTCACCTACTTTATTGCCAGTTCTTTCCTCGTCACCTTTCCACCGCTCCCTCTGGTCTGTGGGGGGATCTATTTTTGGTATTTCCTCAGCAACCCGTTGGTCCCTCCTTATATGTTTGCAAACAGTAGTCCTCTCCCAGTATTTGTAGAATTAAAGTGTACGATGAATACAGTGTCCAAGAGCACTAACTTGTCCTTTCTCCTTCTGAAGTGTAACAATTAGATCTATGTTTTATTTTTATTTTATTAATTTTTAAGTCTTATTTGAAAGACCATAAGTAGCATCTTCTTAAAAACACACCTACAACACACACTTTTTTAGTGACAAATGTTAAACACGACGATGGAGGAATATTTGGAAAAGTATAGAAAAGTTAAAATACAGAATAAAAATTCTCGCTTGTAATTTTGCTACCTAGAACAAAAGCCATTGATGTTGGCTTTTGGTGCAATTTTTTAAATGTAATTTTTAGGTATCTAAGACAGTATTTAAATGTTTATATCTTTGCTAATTGAACATAAGAGTCAGTTCTGTTTTATCCTCATTCCTATAAGCTAGGATGTTGTTATACATAAAAATTGTCTCACAAACAACTCGATGGCTACTATGGGAATTTATCAGTCTTTATCCATTTCATAATGATACTTTAAAATATTATAGCTGTTTGGGTTTATGGGCTATGAAATACTTTCTTGTATGTGACATACTTTTATTTGACATGATGCCCTATAAGGTGGATATCATTACCTTTACATTAGTATAAGGATGACATTAGTTACTTTAAGTAGCTGAAACCTTTATTATGGAAAGAAATTAAGATGATTATTTTTTATAGGTGAGGAGCTTCAGGACCAGAGAAGTACTAGACTTGCCCAAGATCATGTAGATGATGATGATAATCATACTATAGCCCTTCCTACTTGCTAAGCATTTACTTAGGTGACTCATTCAAACCCACAATAACTTTGTATGATAAGCCTAATTCACCCATTTTACAGAAGAAGAAACAGAGAAGTTAAGTAATCATTTCAAAGTCCCACAGCTAGTATGTGGTACAGCCAATATAATACATACCAAAAATCAATGTTTGATATTGTGCTAGTTCTTTACGTAACAAGTGACTGCATCTGCCTCTTGTTATGTAAATTACGAGGTGTTAAGAGAAGTACAAAAAAAAGTCTAAAAACACTGCTTTAAAAAAATGTTATTTTTAATGGAGAAGATATGACAAGTTCTAATAAAGGAAACATTCTATTTAGCTATACCTTTTTCGTGTTAGAGATAAAGTCTGCACCTTGAGTTTACCATAGTTCCTTTTGAATCATCGTAAAACATACATCATGATCAACTTAAAACAATATTAGTCCCATATATTAAAAATCAGTCTAATTAATGAAATTGTAAATCGAGGCCATTTTTCTTTTCAGCTCATGTTGTCAGCAGTCATTTTGCCAAGACAGAACAAACAGGAAATGTGGGAAAACTATTCTTCCAGGATGTCTGAAACTCTCTAAGCACTCTAAGCTTTAAAAAAGCTGAGCAAAGTATTCTAATTTTAATGTAAATATTGAAAAGTACTTGCTTTCTTTTCTTGGTTATTGGCTGAGCCAGGAAGGGGGCCATCAGGTTCATCTGGCTGTTCCTCTGCAGTCGCAGTTGGAGAAGCACTTTTGTTTACGTCCGTATCTAGGTAACCAGAATGCTGAATCAGGTCAGGAACTATGGCAAGTGAATTTTTGCAGTACGGCTAATTTTTTTTTTTTTTTTTTAATTGAGGAAAGTTTCTGTACATACAGCTTAGCTTAAAGGGAGGCTTTCAATTTGTTTTACATTTCCCCTTTCCTCACTTATCCCAATTCTCCCCCATACCCCTATAACATCTATAGTTAGCTAGAAGGGCATTTCTTTACAGATACTTCTATAAGACTTTTAGAAACTTTGTTAGGATCAGACGGCTCTAAAATAATCAGGAATATATATTTTTTAAATTATACTTTGAGTTCTGGGATACATGTGCAGAACATGCAGGTTTGTTACGTAGGAATACACATGCCATGGTGGTTTGCTGCACCCGTCAACCCGTCATCTACATTAGGTATTTCTCCTATCCCTCCCCTAACCCCCCAACCCCCAACAGGCCCCAGTGTGTGATGTTCCCCTCCCTGTGTCCATGTGTTCTCATTGTTCAACTCCCACTTGTGAGTGAGAACATGCGGTGCTTGGTTTTCTGTTCCTGTGTTAGTTTGCTGAGAATGATGGTTTCCAGCTTCATTCATGTCCCTGCAAAGGACATGAACTTATCCTTTTTTATGGCTGCATAGTATTCCATGGTGTATATGTGCCACATTTTCTTTATCCAGTCTGTCATTGATGGGCATTTGGGTTGGTTCCAAGTCTTTACTATTGTGAACAGTGCTGTAATAAACATACATGTGCATGTGTGTTTATAGTAGAATGATTTATAATCCTTTGGGTATATACCCAGTAATGGGATCGTTGGGTCAAATGGTATTTCTAGTTCTAGATCCTTGAGGAATCACCTCACTGTCTTCCACAATGGTTAAACTAATTTACATTCCCACCAACAGTGTAAAAGCGTTCCTATTTTTCCATATCCTCTCCAGCATCTGTTGTTTCCTAACTTTTTAATGGTCACTATTCTGACTGGCATGAGATGGTATCTCATTGTGGTTTTGATTTGCATTTCTCTAATGACAAGTGATGATGAACTTTTTTTCATATGTTTGTTGGCCGCATAAATGTCTTCTTTTGAGAAATGTCTGTTCATATCCTTTGCCCAGTTTTTGATGGGGTTGTTTTTTTTCTTGTAAATTTGTTTAAGTTATTGCCCTGTTGTGCCTAAGCCTTCTGAGGGTCTTCATTGGGATTCATTATTTTGTTTATATGTAAAAAGAAATATAAGATAGTGAGGTAGGAGAAATTTAGAGACCTCGAGTAGTCCATAAGTACCTGAATTCATGATGCTTGGATTTTCCAGCTTTATTTTTTGTTGATTTGATATTTTTGGAAAAAAGTCTCTGTGATTTTTTTTTCTTTTTTCTTAGGAAGCCAGAGTACCAAGGAATTGTAAGTGCATCCTAACTAAGGTCTTGCTGTTTCTGGGGCCTCTTCCCAAGGGTGACTTAGTAGCATTGTGACTGCAGGAAGGATCTGTGATGTCAATGTGGCTGGCCCTCACAATTGAAGTCAGGAAGTCCCTGGGATTTAGAAGCTTTTAGCGTTTTCTGTAGTGCTCATCGTCATACAAATCACTAAGCCCTTCACTTCTTTGTCTCATGGGGTGGGAAGTGGCCATTGTTAAACTGACATTTCACACTCTTCTCCTGATTTCATCTTCACAGTTTGAAAAGAGACCAGTTATCATCAAGTTGGACCAAGAGGAAATGAAATGCTGCGGTATTCCCAACTCTTTCTCCAAGTATGTTAGGGAGGAAGCTAACTCTTCTAGGTTACAAGGTGACTTCACAGATAGTGCAGCACTAATGAAACGTGACATGGGTCAGAGTTTTACAGAAATAAAAATATTGAACTTTGCCTTTGTAGGGGGAATTTTGTTCAGTTATTTAGCCAAAAAGGGGTGGATTGCTTTAGCTGTAAAGTGTTTGTCCGAGTTTTAAAATTACAATTTGAATGTTTGTTAATACTACTTGGCCTCCATATATGGAAATGATGCTTTGGCTAAGTTGTTGTCCAAATTATGGTATCAGATTTGCCTTGTTTAAAGGCACACAATGTTCAGGATGCTGAGTGACAAACTTTGATCCCACAGATAAAGGACACCTATGATTTGGGCTTCCATGCATATCCCCTAGTCTTAAGCTAAGCCCTTAAAACTCAAAGATGCAGTAGTTCATGGTTTGCAAGCAGTCCAAAAGGCTCATTACGCTACCCTAATCATTATTTTATATAGTGCCAAGGGACACTGATACACAACAGTGACTAAGAGCAGGTGGCTACAGATTCCGAGAGAGTGTGTTGGAACCCTGACTCCTCAACCTACCAGCTATTTACTTTGGACAAAAGTACATCACCTCTTTAAGCCTCAGCTTTCTCCTCTGTGAAATGAG